ACCCTACAGGTAAGGTAACTCATACCCTATGATACAGGATATAATCACAGGGATTTAAGTGCCATCAACACAAGCAAAAAGCCTTTTCTGTTTGCTGCTCACTGCCTGCTGATTTTCTAAATGCCCCAGTCAAGAGAACCTCATGTCCAGCACTGAAGTTCTGTTGCTATTTACTTTGGGGAAAGACTAAGAGGTTAATAAACAGACCCTGGTCATGCATGTTTAAAAATAACAATAAAAGACATTAAGACTGAAGCCAAACAGCCTCCCACCAACACTCCTCCCTAAGTAGGAAAAATTTTCAGTGAAGGCACTAAACTTGCCAAGGTCTTTTTATTCAGCTGGCAGGTCCCAGCAGCCCACTCTGCTTGCTGTCTGCAGCCCCCGACTGTGCTGCAACCCAGGCATCAGCAGCAGACAGAAAACACGGTTGCATCAAACCCCCTTTGTGTCAGAAAGTCCCCTTCCCTGCAGAAAGTGGCATGGTGCTAAACACAACTGCTGCGGGATTTTCCTTTTTACCTTTAAAAGGGCTGGCAAATTCACAGGAAAAAGATAAAATAAATCACTGTTTAAGCGAGAGGACAATGGAGGTGCGGGAACAAGTTTCCACTTTCAGCTTGAAAACGAAAAGCCTGTTTCACGCCATTAGAGCAGCGAAGCTCTGGAACAGCTTTCCAGTGGGAGGTAGTGGGGGCAAGAGAGAGAACTAGCTGTGAGGCAGAGCCCTGTCGCTCCACAGGGAGGGGATGGGGAGATGTCGCTGTGGATGACAGCACAAGGCAGGACCCGATGACTCACTCAGTTGTCTTCCCGATACGTGTTTTTAGGACCAGTGGTTGGATAGGGGAAGGAGAGAGCTGTCATCAAATCCTTTCAGTGCCCTCCTTAATCCTGAGCAAATCAAGCAATCTCCAGCACTCATGTGTTTCCCTCATTCACCACCCGCACTTCATGACATCAAGGGAACGGAAAAGCTTCACTGCTTTAGAAATGCGAAGATGCTGGGCCCGTAGAAAAGATGCTTACAATGACCTCAGCCACACACCACTCACCCTCGGGCTTTTATATAGACTGTTAGACCAGAATACCAGATCTGCTCAGCTTTGCAGCATAAAGCTCTGATACCAGACCCCCTCCATCACCTGCACCGGCTCTTCCTCCATCCCTCATCCCCTCTGAGCCTCAGGCACAGAGGCCGATGTTACCCAGGTTCCCAGTAATCTATCTCAAACAAGAAAGATGAAAACGATAAAACCAGGCCATGTAAACTGCTGCTGGAGGGCTTAAACTGCAGAAGCGCTTTGATGGGATTTCCATTTCTGTTTTCAGAGCCTCCCTGTCCTCCTACAATGTAAAATGATTCTCCCTTCGTGGAAAGCTATGTCATAGAAAAATGGAGTAAAGGGAGATATAGTCAAGGTCTTGTTATGCCCTGAGATAACCATCCGTCTCATGATGTGAGGAAAGATTGCCAGAGACAAAGAACCATTTAGGGGAAAAAAGAGGCTGAACTGCCACATTAGTCCTGAAGGAAAAAAAAAGATTATTCTAATACATGGAGAGCCATCACACACACCAGCAATTCAGGAGATTGCTCAGTTTGCACTCGAGACTGCATTTCCCATGCTGTCTGCACTGGGAAAGCACATCTTTAAACCCACCAAAACAAACACACTGCAAACCAATACCCAGGACCCAGCCTCCACCACAGAAGTAGTAACAACAAAGAACCTGATGCCCCAGGTAACAACTTTATTACAGTGGCTCCTACCCCAGAATTCAGCCTGAAAGATGTAGCTAATGTGATCTCACTACTCAATACAGATTGATGACATCTTTGCAACTGAAACATTTTTTATTCGAAACAACTTTTCATTGCAAATTCAGATTTTGTAAAGACACAATTAATAAAAAACTAACTAAAATATTAAAAATATAAAAAACTTGCAAGTAAAAACGTAACCTCTCACTTCCTTCCCACTCTAATTTTCAATTTCTACTTCAGCATCCTCTCTGCATTCCCAGCTGTCATGGCCAGGGCCACTGTAAGCGTGTTCTCCCTACCTGAAACATGTCCTCAAAACCCAGGAGGAGTTTTTGGAAGCTCTGCTTTTACACAAGAGATTTTTCTGCCAGACATACACGCTGGTCACGGGGAAGACAAAGATCTGACCTTCCTGAGCATCACATTCAATACCACGTTTCACCCAGATGCAAAGTGCGCAGACCAGAACACACATCCTGAATACAGCAGCCTGGCTTGCAGGACTTGGCCACTTAAATATTCCTCAATCACCATTAAGTGGCAAATTCTGGCCCAGACCCAGGCAATCAGCAGGTTTTGACTAGATCTCCCCAAGGAGATGTGATGACCCTGTGTGGGATGAAGTTACTTACACCTCCTAGGAGGAAAAGCACTGCCTCTCCCAATGTTCCCCATCCACCCTTTACAAAAGCTTTGCTTTTCTGCATGGTCACAGCTTAACCACAATAATACCAAGCTGTGGGCTCTTTTGCATCAGGAACCCAGATTTTTGTTACCTGGGTTACAAAACCTGTTACCCGGGACAAGCCGTTACTTCAGGGCTATGGCTACTGAGCCTCACCTGAATGTCAAAGCAGTAACAAAAGGAAACAACCTTTTTTGACAGCAGGGAAGGGAAAAACAACTTTCACTGGCCGATTACTGAAACAAGTATTTCCAAGAGCAAAAGCAAACCCAGCTGGCTTCCAAACACAAATTAAAGTGAATAACAAAGAATCTTCCCCTGCTACATTTCTGACCCATCCTAGTCTTTGTTATCAGCATCCCTGAGCTCAATGGCTACCTCTTCTCAGGGATCCCACATTAACTAAGGGTTTCAGGGGAAGGAACACACCCACCTGAGCAGCAGCAATAATAAATCAGGGATCTTGACCTTTTGCTCCCCCCTCCTCAGCTGTACCAGATCAGCGCTATGATGATGCACACATGTGGGAAAGCACAAGCACGCCCTGCTTTCCTCATCTGCTCATTCCCCACCCTCCCTCTTCTTTCATTCTCACTTTATTTCTCTGCTCTGGTAGTTTTCCAGTGCCTAGCTGTCCACCCAGTTCCAGCTCTCCCCTTTATCTTTCTGTGCATCCCACTTCTCAGCACTCCATTCTGGAGGCTCTCTGGACACCTACCTCACATTATCTCATACCCAGAAGCACCTGGCATGCCACACCTGCCCAGGAAATAATAGAATTGAGCCTCAGTATTTTACATATTACCTAAAGACACAAGTTATATATCTTATGTGAAGCAGCCCTGGGCATCTCCAGTTTATTGTCGCCCCCAGGCAGATGTGCACATCACAGCACCACCAGTAGCTCTTGTTTGGCAAAGAAACTGATCATTAAAGAAACTGGGTTGATGAACAGGGATCCAGTCCCAGGGAAGTAATGTTGTGGCAGTTCAGAAGAGAGGCTGAATGGTATTAATATAGCACATCCTGTGTTATAAAAGACACTGGCCCAAATTCTGCTCTCGGAGTTTCAGATTCACTAGGGCATCTCTCCATGCAAATGTCACCAAGAGCAAAATATGGTTGTTTTACAAGCCCATTTGAAGCCTTTAACAACGACTCTCTTTCCCTGATGTGAGCTATTTTACTGACCTACAGCTTCATCTCCATCCTGCTGATGGCTGAGAAACTTCCCATTTTGCAAAGGGGCTTTATATTACACACAGGGCAAGGAAGAGTTACCCCATTGACCTGAATGGCCCAGGCTTGCAAAGTCTTCCCCAGGAAGGAATAATTTAGGTAGCTGCCTATTTGGTGAGCCCAAGCTGTGCTCAGCAAGATGCCTCAAAGGTGGGTTGGTACAGTCAGACAGCAGATGGGTGGGAGCAGGCAGAGCAGCACAGCGCTGCAAAGCAGTTCATACTATGCAAAAGTTCTTTGTCCTTTCCAGCTGGATACTGGGAGACACAATGCATCTGAAGGTGAACTGCAGTGTCTGAGATGTAGATTAGGGACATAAACCCAGCGGCAATGGTATGAGCTGGGTGGTGGTATCCAATAGGTCTTGGAATCCTAAATAAATCAATAGCCAGAAAAATGAGGTTCAGCTGAAGTGCTGGGTTTTCTTTAACCTACAGAATGACGGAGGCTGAAAAGGACATCCTTTCCCTATGCCTCTTCAGGGCCATCCTGCTCAAGCTAATACTAATTTAGGTGTTTCTATATGGTGATATTTTTTATCTTTTTTTAAAGGGAAGTTACTTGCTATGCAATTTTCTAAGGTTCTTCCCCCAGCACACCACACAGACCCCTCTCAGCAAGAGCAAAGGCTTTCCCACGCTCACAGCCAGACCCCAACAATTCACCATCCACAGAGTGAGGAGGATGCTCCTAGCTCAGGTTTTCTCCCGTCTGTAGACGAAGAGGGCCATGGGCATTTCAGCCCGGTCCTGTGCAGGGCGCTAAGCAGCGGGCAAGGCAGGCTCCCACCGGTGGCAGCCTGGTCAAAGGTTGGTGGGCAGGATGCCCACGGCATTGCCCCTGGTCCCTCCCGTCTGTTTGCTCGCCAACAGGGGCAGGAGCGGCGGCGAGGGGACACAGGGAACACACACACCACACACCCCCAGCAACACAGCCTCCCCCGGCCAGAGCCCCGCGGCACCGGGGCTGCACTGCAGACCGCGGGACCCGCCGGGGATGACATCAGCGCTGCCGCGACCGGGCGAGGAGCGGGGCCGGGGGGGTGGAAGGGTTGGAACCCCGGCTGGGGCTGATCCATGGGTACAGCGACAGCGCAACCCCTTCCCTCCACCTGCCCCGAGCATCCCGCTGCATCCCCCGGGGGAAACAGGGGGGTTCGGGTACCCTCTCGGCGTGCACAACCCCATCGCTCCCGGAGAAGGCAGAGCCCCCCTGCCCCGCCGCTGTCGCCGTGCGGTGCCGTGCGGTGCCGTGCGGGCAGGTGCGGCCGCCGCCCGCGCCCCCCGCCCCGGCTCGCCCTGCCCTTACCCGGGGCGGCGCAGTCGGCGCACGCCGTGTTTCCCGGCCGCTGGAGCAGCTCCACCAGCGCCTTCCTGCTCTTCTCCTTCGCCATGGGGCCGGCGGCGCGGTGCGGGGCTCCGCCGCGGTTGGGCGAGCTTCACGGTGCGGGGCGGGGGGCGCTGGCGAGGCGGGCGGCGCGCCCGGGCTGCTCCATGCGGCCCCGCTCGCCCCGCGCAAGGTGAACGGGCCGCGCCGCCGCCGGGAGGGGACGCGCCGGGGCGGGTCCTGCCCTGACGCCTCCGAGCCTCGCCGCTGCCGTTGCTGTTGCTGCCGCCGCCGGAGCCGCCCGCCCGGGCACGGTGCCGGTTCCGCCTTCCGCAGGACCCGGGGGGCTGGCGGCTCCCTGAGCCGCTCGCCCGCGACCTCCAGCGGCCGCTCGTCGCCGGGGAGCCCCGTTCCCGTGGGGGTTCCCCACCACCAGGGCATCCCAGCCCCCACGGGTGTCCCCAGCCACCGAGCGGTCCCTTCCCAGGTTTAATTTGGGGTGCCCGGCCAGGGGATGCTCTCTCCCATGGGCTGGGAGCTGGCGTGGCAGTGGGGAATATGGGGGCCAGGAGGTTGGTCCTTGCTGGATGGGTTCTCGCTGCTCCAGCACATTGGTGGGTCCAAGAGCAGTGCTTTGGGGGCATTTCTTTAGATTAGCATCGTTAGGGGATACTCATAAGTGTTTAACTGGCACCCACCCACACTCCAGAACGTTCCTCCTTCATCACCACCTTCCATGTCTGCATCTCAGCAGGACTATCCCCCAGGCGTCTTCTCATACTTTTCACACCCCTCCATGATGTCAAGGGAGTATTGGTGGAGAAAACACCCCAAGGACAGGGGCAGAATTCCCCATACCCCTGTGGCTGTGTTTCCTGTCACCTACAGGACAAGGCTCCCGGTCTTGCTTTACCAGCTAAGAACAAGAGGCTGACCTGGGGTGGCGATGAGGGAAGACTTTGGCTGAGGCGGGGTTCAGAGCTGTGCCTCCTGGGCTGCTGCCCTAACCCCTGCTGAAACCTTCTCGGGAATGGGTCACATGCATCTGCAATGGTGCTATGACCTACCTATGGTTCATACAGCTCTGCTTACAGAAAGGGTTTTGGTTTAGCTGTGAAAGTCCCCCATTCAAATGGTCCATCTCTGCTTCCTCCAACAAAGCAGAGCACCTTCCTGCAGGCTCAGCTCTGTGCTCCTTCCTGGGGTGTGCACCAGTGTCTGCAGGAGGAGGGTGCTCTGCAAAACGTCCACAACCAAATCACCATCTTGGTCCTACAAGCATACATGGATGTGAGCATAATTCAGGGACCTCTTTGTGGGAGACAATGGCATAAACCCTTGAACACGGGCAGAATCATGGGCTGGCAGGTTTACAATGCCTCTCTTGCCTGGCAGACATTTTCCTAGATGACCTTTGTGCTGTCAGACAAGGGACTGTAACTGAGTTGATTTCTGACTGGTTTAAACTAATGTCAGTGTTCCTTGCTGACCCTACGCAGCATTACGCGTCATGCTGGGGTTTGCTTGTTTTACACGTGCACGCTGATGGGGTCTGGAAAGTCATTCCTGTGCTAACCAAAGGCATAATCCCAGACATGGGCTTTCTGTGGAGAAGCTGAGCTGCTGCATCCAGACTCTCACCTTCTTCAACCTCCAAGTCACTAATCCTAACCCGGAACAGAGCCATCGACTCAGTAACACCAGCTCAGCACAGTATCTTAGCCCTAATCCTCCACACCCGTGCTATATTCAAGCTTGTCAGTGTAAATGCTTACAGGATCAGAGCTTCACCTAAGTCCAGGTTAGGTTATGTTTGCATTTGCACTCCGGCTTTTCCAGAACATGCACTTGCTGAATTCTCCATGCAATAACCAGGATGCTGCACATCATCATGAGCTTACCGAGGGCAGAGGCTGGGAGGAGGGAAGGGCACTGGTTTTAGTCTCTGTTTAGCTTTCCATTAAGACTTATTGATTCTCTTTAATTTTTTTGTTCTGCCGGTTGCTAGGCAATCTCTCTCTCTCCTCCATGTGCTGGAAGCCAGGGCTGCAGACAGAAATTTATATCTTGTAATAAAATCAAATATAACAGAGCCTGTTGTCAGTGATGAGGGGAGCGTTTCATAAAGGACAGACGGAGCAGGAGAACAGGGCCAGCAAGGGTTGATCAACAGTGGTTCTCAGAACCGAAGTCCCATCACAATTACTTTAGACTTCACGTTGGGAAACAAGCAGCCTAGTGGGTGGAGGAGATGTGGAGAGAGAGAGAGAGAAAAGTTGGAAATAAATGAGCCAAAATCAAAGATAAACTTTTGTTCAGTGGAATATCAAGGGCTTGGTTCACCCTCACATGTACAGGGGTAACTCCACAGATTCACTCCTGGTTTATCCAAGGTTAAGAGGTTGGGTGTTGCTCCAGAGACAACCAGCAGTGTTGATCCAGGGCAGGCAGTGAGGCTCTCCTGATGGACACTGGCTCCTAAAGATTGTGATTCCTGGTGTAGAGCAGGGACAGCATCAGAGTTTTCCATCCCACTAAGGGTAAAGGAGGAAGGTTGCCCTGGCAGGGCTGGTGGAGACTCCCGGGAAGCTGATGGGCATCACTGCTCAGCCTTGTCCATGTCAGACTGTTCCTGTCCATGTCCACAGGAGCCAACAGCTCATCTGAGCTTTTCCCCGCATTTTTCCTGTGGGTATGACCTAGCAGGGAATGCTTAATGAATTTGCCCCTACTTCTTGCAAAGTCTTTGGCCAAACTCTCTGGAGACCGCTTGTCACTGTCAATACATCACCCTCATTCAGATGCGTTCTGTCTCCCCACTGCTAAGTGACTTGTTAAGCCTGATGTGAATTTATATACATATGTATATAAATACTTACATATTTATGTGTGAAATGTGCTTGTTTGCAAACATGCACACTTTCAACTCAGCCTTTCCTAGAGCGCAAGGTTGTTGCCTTAGAAACGGATGTTATTAATGCGCTCTCCCGAGGTGCTAAGTACAGTGGCAGCAAGGGCAGCCTCTGGAAATGCCAGACTGAGGTCAGGGCAAAGGATGCTCAGAAATTCCTGGAAATCTTTTCATCATCTTTGTGGTGATGCTCTGAAAATGCACAGACACAGCTATACGTTCTCCTTGCCCTTCCGTGTTAGCTCCTTCCACCTGACGCTGGCTTGTTTTGTTAGGAAAGAGCTGTTGACGCTGGTTTTTAGTTAATTTTGCAGCCCCAGCCCTGAAATGGCTGAATCGGTGTCACAACCACGCAGGTGAAAGGGTGTTAACCCTTTATGGGACCTGGGAGTGCATTCACAGCGTGACATGGGGAAGAAGCACAAATTCCTGTGTGAACAGCAAACCTTAATATCAATAATTCACACCACTGCAACTGCATTCAAGCAAAACTCTCTGCAGTAGTGGAGACACCAGGCTGGAGCCTTTAGGCTTCCTCAGCACCACAGCGGATGCAGATCTTGCAGCTGGAGATTTGTGTGAACAAGCCATAGCAGTGACCACCCGCACCCACGCTAAAGCAGCCAGGTTTTGTTCCTGTCCTGTTCAAAACAAGAGAAAAAATAAGAAAAAAATAAGAAACCAACATCCTAGAAATATATATCTGATTTATATATATGCGTATATCTTATTTTCTGGGTTATCCAGTTAAATTAAGAGTGACTACAGCTCGAAGGGAGGAATGCCACAGAGCAGAGAGCTCCGAGCAGGGTGTTTAAAACCTCTTAAACTGAGAACCTGACACGGATGCCAACTTTCTCCGATTCTGAGCAAACTGCTTTGTTTTGGACCCTGTGAGATTTTTCTCCCCTAGAACAGGGAAAAGCACACTCACTGCCTCTGCATGGTTAGGATGTGCTAGTCAAGTTGAAGAGGATGATGCAAGAGAAAATGATGTGAGGGTGCAGCAATAACAGACTGAAGTCTGGGTCTGCAGAGCTGCTCTGCACCTGCACCAGCCCTCAAAGAAGGAAAGGTGTCGTGCAGCTCTAAAAGCATCTCGGTGCGGAGTTCTTTGCAGATCAGGGTTTTATTACATTTGCATAGTGGTTAATTCTGTTGCAGTGTTACCAGCGTAGAAAAAGGGAAGTCCTTTACTCCCATGATTTGACAGCCGTGCAGGTAACATCACACACACACCAGATCACACAGATCCTCTGTGAGCGAGAAGAAATGGGGAGAATGGGGAACAAGAAGAGGGTGCAGAACAAAATCTCTCTGCTGATTGACTTAAACACCAGGTTTTGTAGGCTTCTGCAGCCTCCTAGAGCTGAGAACTGCTCTCTCACAGTGGCATCACAGCAAAAAGGAAAGCAGCTCCAACCACTTTTCGGATCCTGTCCACCATGTGCTCAGGACGTCCTCTCAGTTTCTTTTCTGGCCAGGCTCGCTGCAGCAGTGGGCTGGTTTTGGCACTGGTATGTGGCCACAAGGACTGTTAGTCACTGGTGGAGTGGTTGGGAGCCAAGAGACATCCTAGAAAGCGAGGGGATAATGGATAGCTTGAGGATGTTGGATATTCGTACATCTGCTCCACGCACACAAGGAAAGCTCAATGCAAGAACAAACATGCTGCAACAGTCCTGTTGTACTGAACCCGTTTCATACAATGTAAAATCTGATGTGGAGGGGGCACCTGGGGGAATTGGCTCCATAGCAGCCACCAGGCACCCGACTGGGGCTATGCTGATTTCTACAGCCTAATGGCAGGCTTCCTTCTGCTCTCTGAGAAGAAGAAATTAGACCAATGAAGTCAGTAACTCACCTACACCAGTAAGAGACCACTGCTTTTAGCATTGTCCTTGGTTTATACTAATTAAAAGACTTAGGCCTGGGGAAGCTCTGTATGGAGGAAGCCAACATGTGAGAAGAGTTTCATACGTCAGGGTATCAGCTCCTCCAAGAAAAGCCAAAGTAATTATTCAGAGCAGGCCACCATCAATTCAGTCTGAGTCAGAGGCAGCAGCACGACGGGTTCGACGTGCAAACCACAGGGCAAGCACTTATCGTGGAAATTGCTTTTGTTCAGTTCCAATAATTTAATCTCTTCCTGGCTCGAATGGCTCATCCTTCCAGGAACAGCTTGGAGACATTCAAGCTGGAGACTGGACTGC